TCATGCTGCTCTACAGGGCAACCCAGTCTTAAAGCCATCCCACCTGGCAAGCGGAGAACTGCAGAAGGGAACCCTCAGGCAGCTTCTTTGACACCTCCATCCTTGCTCCCACTGTGGGGGATGTATCTGGTGGACAGCCATCCTCCAGTGAGGCTCAGATGCTGGGATGGGCGATAAGTCACCAGGTACAAGCCAGTCCTGTGGCTACACCACTTTACAGCAGGGAATAATCTAGCAGCTCCAAGGAACCAGAAATGAGGAACAGGATGTTCATGTGGCTTAGAGCCGCCTTTGCAAACCCTTCCTGTGCACAGCTCAGACTCATCCCAGGATCTGGGGTGTCATTCCCCTCTGTCATCTGCACGGCTAGGGGCAAATCCTCTTGTGGTGCATGATCCTGCAACCCCATCAAATTCTTCAGGAGTCTGGACAGGCTTAGAGGTGAAGGCTTGGGCCAAGAATGATGGTTGGAGTCAATCGAAAGCATAAGTGACAGGGAAGTCTCAGGATAGATAACAATCTAAATCTGAATTGGCTTCCCTGTCCAGCGTGGCCTGTGGCTATTTGTGCTGTTAAGTATTCTGTGCAGGGAAAATACATCTGCATGTGAAAACAACCTCCCTTCTCCCTTCCCCGCTCATTCTTGCCATGTGGGACAGACTGACAGGTACCCCCGGGTCCCTTTCTTGCCAGTGCAGCTGGCGCAAAGAAACTAAGAAATGGGAAGAGAATGCCAATGAGAAGTGACTGTCTAGGAAGGAGTCCTGCAGAAAGGGATCTAGGAGTCATAGTGGACCACAAACAAACCTGATTCTGGGCTGCATTAATAGGAGTGTTGTGAGCAACACATAAGAAGTCATTCTTTTGCTCTACCCTGTGCCAATTAAGCCTCAATTGGAGTATGGTTTCCAGTTCCGGGCACCACATTTCAGGAAAGATGTGGAGAAATTGGAGAAGGTCCAGAGAAGCGCAACAAAAATGATGAAAGGTCTAGAGAACATGAGATATGAGGCAAGGCTGAAGAAATTGCCCATGTTTACCTTGGAAAAGAGAAGACTGAGAAGGGACACGATAGCAGTTTTCAAGTATCTAAAAGGGTGTTACAAGGAGGGAGAAAAATTGTTCTCTTTGGCCTCTGATGAGAAGACAAGAAGCAAGAGGCTTAAAGTGCAGCAAGGGAGGTTTAAATTGGACATTAGGAGAAACTCCCTGCCTGTCAGGGTGGTTAAACACTGGAATCAATTGCCTAGGGAGGTTGTGGAATCTCCATCACTGGAGATATTTAAGAGCCGGTTAGACAGACACCTGTCAGGGATGATCTAGATGGTGCTTGGTCCTGCTGTAAGGGCAGGCGACTGGACTTGATGACCTCTCGAGGTCCCTCCCAGTTCTTGTGTTCTATGCTTCTAAAAAGCCCACCGTTCCCCCACTCACTCCTTTCAGCTCTGCGCTGCCTCTCAGAGGCATGACAGGGAGGTTCACTGGCAAAGCTGGGCTGGTGGCGAGAGGTGGGGATTGGAGGCAAGGTGCGGAAGGCAGGAAGGAGAGGGGGTGGCTGTGTGAGAGCACAGGCAGGCTTGAGGAAGCGGTGGGGGGATGGGAGACAGAAAGATGGCCTCCGAGGGGAAATGGATGGGTTGGCACTGCAGACCCTGAATAAGGGATGTGCAGACAGCCTCCTCGTTGCATTGTCAAAGGAAGAAACCTTCCCTCTGGCTTTTTGGGAACGTTCTTTTTGGGAACCATAATTAGTATTGAAATGGCAGAGCGATAAAAGGGGCCCTGGTGCATGTTGACATCTAATTCAAAGAAGAGTCTTTGGCTTTTGCTTTTCAGCAGAGCAGGGGGGCGCTGTTGATTTTAAAAGGTTTTTCCAAATTCTTCCAAGACCTGCAGTGCAATTGACGAGTCCCGGAACTTGCTTAGGGATGGGATCTGTTGGATCCAACCCTCCATTCCTGGCACAGAAAAACCAAAGCAGCCTTGACAAATGGCTTGTGATGCCCAGCACAGTGGAAATGTAGAGGACAGCACAGATTCTCTCTGTGAAGAATTGATCCGACTCTTTTTTCTTTTTTAATTACAGATTTCGAATCCAGCACAGAAAAGCCAAGAGCGCACCTAACAGGTAATTTAGCTGTTCAAAAATGATATGCCTCCCTGGGTTACTGTCATAAATATTGCAGTGCGCCAAAACTCATCTCCGAAATACATGTGCCTGATAGAATCTGACAGACAGATGTGAAAGGCAGGACGTTCAGGGAAAAGAAAGTCATGGACCATTTATACTCTCTGGGCCAGAGCTCAGCTGGGTCTCACTTCACTTACCTTTACTAAGACTCACTAATTTATACCAATCGAGGATCTGGCCCTGCACTCATATGGAGTGTCAGCCAAACTGGGCACTTTATGAAAAAATTCTCTTTGTGCCTTTAAAAGGATTCTTACGAAATGATCGCTCACACTGGCAGCAAGTGTTTGAATGATGTCACCTGCTCAAAGCAATGGCTGGTATTCTACTCCTCTTCTGTACTGAACTGGGACATTTAAGGATAAAGGGCCTGGTTGTAGTTCCAGCTGGATGTGAATCAGGAGCAAGCAATCGGTGGAGCTAGGGCAGTTTAAGGGGCAGGAGAACCAGGCCCTTAATATTCCATGAACACCAAAGTCTTGATTCTCTTCACTTACCCCTTTTCTGCACCAGTCTGACTCCATTGACGTCAGTAGCATCACTCCCAGATTTACACCTCTGGGCACAAATGGGCTACGTCTACACTGGCCCCTTTTCCGGAAGGGGCATGTTAATTTCAGAAGCCGTAATAGGGAAATCCGCGGGGGATTTAAATATCCCCGGCGGCATTTAAATAAAAATGTCCGCCGCTTTTTTCCGGCTTTTAAAAAAGCCGGAAAAGAGCATCTACACTGGCCCCGATCCTCCGGAAAAAAAGCCCTTTTCCGGAGGATCTTATTCCTACTTTGTATTGCACCTACTCGGCAATACAAAGCCCCCAGCACTGACGCTCACAAGGCTTGACTACAGGGCTGAAAACAACAGTCGACATTTGGGCTCAGGCTGAAGTCGGGGCTAGGAGAACCAACCGCCTCCCCTTGAGAGAGCTCAGATCCCATGTTCCAGCCCAGGCCTGCACGTTAACCCTGCCGGTTTTACCCCTGCAGCCTGAGCCCTGCACACTCAAAGCAGCTGACTCAGGCCAGCTCTGGCCACATATTAGAGGGTCTTTTATGGCCGTGTCAAGGTACCAGTCCAGGGGATGGTGCCTGATTCCTTTGTAGATGAGCTGAGGGGGAAATTTATGCTCTAGACCCTGACTAAGTGCACCCTTCTGAGGGAGAGGCAGAACTGAGCCTTAAACTATTTTTGTAGCTCCCAGATAAGAGAACGTGGAGGCAAGGACAAACTGGAGAAAGTCAACAGCAGGGTGGCTTCCAGATGGCTGGGTCGGCTATGATGTCTCAAGCACTCTGTGGATGGCTTCTAAGATCCACTGCTTCCGTGATTCAAAAAAAGCACTCACAGCACACAAGCGGCTTTAAGCACGTGTGTAATCCTGTTGAAATTGGAGTGTAAAGTTGTGCATGTGCTAAATCACAGCACCAAAGTCAGGGCCTAGGTTCTTATCACTTTCAGCAGCATGATTCTACTCTCTGGCTACATCTAGACTGGCAAGATTTAGCGCAAATACTTTCAACGCAAGAGTTTTTGCATTAAAGTATTTGCACAAGAGAGCGTCTATACTGGCATGTGCCTTTGTGCAAAAGATTTGATTCTGCGCAAAATCATCCATGCCAGTGTAGACGCTCTCTTGTGCAAGAAAGCTCCGATGGCCATTTTAGCCATCGGGCTTTCTTGCGCAAGAAATTGATGTTACCTGTCTACACTGGCCTCCTGCGCAAGAACACTTATGCAAAAGGACTTATCCCTGAGCGGGAGCATCAGAGTATTTGCACAAGAAGCACTGATTTCATACAGTAGAAAGTCAGTGTTCTTGCTCAAATACTTGCGGCCAGTGTAGACAGGAGGCAAGATTTTGCGCAAAAGCGGCCACTTTTGTGCTAAATCTTGCCAATGTAGATACAGCCCCAAGGTTTATCCTCAAGCTCCTGGCTAATGATCCTTCGCCAGGCAATTTACTAATAAGCGAGCCTTTCCATATTTTCCAGTGCCGCCGTGCAGATGTGCAGGAAAACAAGATCCCATTCTTTAATAGAACAGCCATTTTTCTGCCAGCTTCAGGGGGTAGCCGAGTTGGTCTGTTAGAGGGAAAAAAACAGCAAGCAAATGGTCTGGTAGCACTTTATAGACTAACAAAACATGTAGATGGGCTTTTGTGGGCTCCTGATACCCGAGCACCTGATACCTGAGCACTCATTGGCAGAAAAATAACAAGCAAATGGTCTGGTAGCACTTTATAGACTAACAAAACATGTCGATGGGATCATGAGCTTTCGTGGGCACAGCCCACTTCTTCAGATGACTGGAGTTATGACTAGAGGATAAGAAAACTTGAAACAAATAGGAGAAAGGAAGGGGGGGAGAGAACGATGCTCTGTCACCCACCCCCCTACCTCTATACATAAAGGTGCTCAGGTATCAGGTGCTCGGGTATCAGGAGCCCACAAAAGCCCATCTACATGTTTTGTTAGTCTATAAAGTGCTACCAGACCATTTGCTTGTTATTTTTCTGCCAATGAGACATAGGAGCAAGTGAAGCTGAACATGAGATAGCCCCTCCTGCTAGGTTTCTGGCTCAGAAGAAAAAAACTGGAGCTCTGTACTCCTGATGAATGAACATCAAAAGCTTGGGTGATGTTCTCTTTGCTTCAGGGAAGCACCCAATCGTTGAGTCAAATTTCTTTGCAAACGCAAGCAGTTGAAAGTCCAGCTGGAAATCACCACTGACCAGCCCGTCTCATGGGATTTTCAGTTCTCTTTGATCTGCCAATGAGGGACATTTACTGCCCCGTACCTCCTAGCGGAGAGGAGCACGAAAAGGAAAATGATAAATTCAATTTGGGGAAGTGACCCCAGCTGTTTGGAAGCTCCAGAACAATAGTGATTTGAGTCTTGGGCCATGAGGCAGAGGTTAGTTCTTATGTTTCCTATCCCTCGCCTCTACCTTGGTCACTGCAACTGCTTTCATTTCAATCCCTGGGGAGAGGAGGGTCCCCACACAAGTGTTGACTAACAGCTACTGCAGGGTGGGGGCATCTGAGCATTTTTCTGATTCAGAGTAGGAAACAACTGTCCTGCCTCAGTGACTGATTGGGAACAACCGGCCTTTTAAGGGCAACCACTGAACTGCCACTTTGGTAACGTACGTTACAGTCACACTCATTGTAAGGGTGTCAAAGGTCCAGGCTACACTGAAAACTTGTGTGGCACTGCTACATCTCTCAGGGGCATGAAAAATCCATACCCAGAAGGGATGTAGTTACGCCAACCTAGCCTCTGGTGTAGAGAGCTCTAGGCCAATGAAAGAATTCTTCTGTTAACCTAACTACCATCTGTCGGGAGGTGGGCGTGGCTTAACTACACCTGCCTGACTATGTAGCTATACCTGCACTGAATACTTACACTTAATACACTATGGCTGAGTTGCTGTGGCATTTTCAGTATAAATACAGACAGCTTCAGGTAAATAAGAGCGAGGGCCTACCAGAGTCCAGTGACTCCAGTTTAACCTCACAGAGTCTGGGTCAGATCTTTGGCCTGAGTGAGGCTGCTGCGGTGGTACAGAGCAGAATCAAATTTGTCCCAAATACCAGGCACTGGGACAGGCACAGCTGATGTGGTGCCCACTCCAGTGTCGGGGCCAAACCAGGGTGGTAGGGACAGTGACCCCAGGTCTACCCAGGGTGGTAGGGACAGTGACCCCAGGGACAGGTACCCCAGGTCTACCAGACAGGTTGGCTTAAGGTACTCAAAATCCATAGCTGGACTCCGCTTATCTTAAGCCGAGCCTTGGAGGCATCCACAAGGCAGGAGGCCAGCAGGAGCACATGTTCCTGTCAGCTTCCCTTACTCCTTGCAGAATGAGGAGTAAAGGACAGCGGCAGGGGCTGCCCTCAGTGCTCGACTTGGGGGCCTACACTACACCTGCTACATCGAAGGGTAGGGGATCGACCTCCAGGGAGTCGATCTTCTCCAAGGTGTAGACGTGCCCAGTGTCTCCCAACTCAGGTCAACAGACTTGGGCTAGAAGGCCTTGTGGATAAACACTGGCCTAGGATTCAAGAGATCTGAGCTTGATTCTCAATTTGCCCAGGCATCAGCCCTGATTTTCAAAAGCAACCAATGTTGAGTGGCTCAGTTCCTGGACATCATAGAGGGGTCTCTACAGCCATCCTCTGAACATTAAGTCCCTTTGCAGTGTCTCAAGGTGGACACCCTTGAGTTGTGTTTTCCATGTGTAAAATGGGATTAAAAGTATTCCTTTCCGCCAACCCTTTGCTTGCCTTGTCTAGCTAGATGGTAAACTTGTTAGGACAGTTCCTGTGTCCTACAAGATGCATATAGAGTGCTTCTCCCAGTGAGTCACTTATTTCAGGTGGGGCCTCTGCGTGCTACAGTAAAACACATCTGAGCGAGTCCGTACGAAAGAGAACATGGTGGCCAGGCAGTTTCGTTTTGAAGGTCTTTAGCATCCGAGTTTCGGTCATCACCATGTATCCTGCTTGAACGGGTGAACTAACCGATCTCTTTCCTTTCTCTTTTATGTTCTCAGTAAAGAAGCAAGATCCGTCACCTCCCGTGGGAAATCAGCTTCCAGTTCTCCAGTGGGAACATGAGCGAGGCTTAGCATTCACCAAGAACAACATGAATTATACCAACAAATCACTGGTGATACCAAAGGCTGGGGATTACTACATCTACTCTCAGGTCACTTTCCGAGGGCACACTCCAATTGACAATAAACCAGCTTCTGTAACACAGGTCATTACTAAAGTCACGGACAGCTACCCTGAGCCGACCCAGTTGCTGACCGCCACCAAGACGCTGTGTAACATGGGAAACAACTGGTTCCAGCCTATTTACTTAGGGGCAGTAATTTTCATGGAGGAAGGGGACAGGCTGATGGTCAATGTTAGTGACATCCAATTGGTAGATTACACCAAAGAACACAAAACATTCTTTGGGGCTTTTTTACTGTAGACTTCTGACAGCCACCAATAAGGGTTGCTCCTATTAGGGTCCTGAATCAAATGTGTCACTAAAATCACCCAGAAGTTTGCTAATGATTTTAGTGAGTACCGGATCAGGGAGTCCTAGCACCAAGCATCTGTGCCCTCAAAAGCAGTTTCCTTACCTGTGTTCTCATTCACCTGTGTGGCTCTGGTGTCCATAATGTAGCTTATCCTTGGGGGAAGGAAAGTTGAAGCCACTAGCTAAATTAAACAACCCATCACAATACAACAAAGAGATCACACCACATCAACCACAGAAAAGAATAGGGAGGCAAAGGAGAGAAAAATATACCCCTATGCTAAAGCTAGTAACTTTTTGAATGCCTACAAGAGGGAGACAGAGTGTTTATAGATGAGAGGGAAAATTATCTTCAATCAACTAAGCCTAGATCCCAAATCCAATAAGCAACCACTTTAAACGAGCCCCAAGGCAATTAATTACAGGCACTCCCTTAAAACTAGATTTGCTTAGTACTTTACATTAATATAGAAATTTGGAACTTTCAAGGCATTGTATAATTATTAACGGTTTAATTAATCCCTTGCAATTGGCCAGTGAAGTAGATTAAAATGATTTCTTGAAGTCTGCAAAACAAACAAACAAAAGTCCACCCTACTGATTTTTTTTTCCCTCCCAAGATATTTTTGAGGAAATTGTATGCTATTTTGTTCAGGGCCCATTTGTTGCCCAAAAATGGCTCATTTCATCATATTTCTAACGTGTTGTCCATTTTTACATTGAAACACACAAATATGTTAATGTTTTAGTGTAAAAATTCATCTCACTACAAAAAATTTTTTATTGAAATGGAGCACAAATTTCAGCAAAATTTCAAATTCAGAAAACTTTCAACCTGCTGTACAACACATAAGAGTTTAGGATCAGTGTGAAAATAAGTTATGTTCCCTCAAAAATGATTTTGTTTTGTTTTGTTCATGTAGCTTTTTGAGGAAAAGCCACAATTGTTCAGAAATTGAAAACAAAATGCCCTTTTTTTTAAACTTCCAAGATGGCTACAACTCCCCTCTCTCCAGACCATCACAACTGCAGTGGTTTCTGAAAGGAAAGGTTGCTAGGCATTAGGCTGGCTAGTACCCACTTGTGCAACAGTCAGAGTAGGTGGTGTAACCGGATGCAAGAGCTCAGGAATTTTCCATTTCCAGTTTCTTGCTCAGTCTTCTAGATCATACTGTCTTGCAGGGAAATTCCCTGGCTTTCCCTTCACCTCCATTATAAACTATTCAGTGATGACAACTCCAGTCATGTTGTAATCGACTCAAGCTTTCTATTCTTAAATTCCCCCAAGTGTTAAGCTCAGTTGTAGACAACACCCAAAGCGTCAAGTTTGCAGCCAGACACACTCACTCTCTGTCACTGAGACTTCCTGCTCTTTCAACATGTCATCCCCTGTGAGCAATGAAAGTGAAAGTGCATTATGTATGTACCCAGAGTGCTTTGCAGGATTCCATAGCGCTAAAGGTAGCTGAGATATATTTTCCTTCCAACGCCAATGCACACCTCTCATAAATCATGGGAATTACACCCCTTAGATGAGGAATTCTACAGATCCCGAGAAGGTATAGTTGACTTGTTCAAATGTAAGGTCATTATATCTACACACACACCACATATATAATACTGCTAGACTGCCAAGGAAGCCAAGCTGTTCTCTCCCTGGCATTCCTCCTTCTGGCAGCTATGTTAATGCAACAATAAGCTATCTGACAACATTCCTAGAGTGCAGTGTCATGGAGGAAGAGAAAAGAGCAGAGGCAAGTTGAGAGAAAAGAGAGAAACATGGAAGGAGTAAAAATGATGAGCCAGAACTTTGGCTTAAGCATTGCTTCCATGGCTCTGCGCAAGTATATCCGTGCTGGGAAACTGGCTATGCTTTTGATTAGCTGCAAAGGTTCACCATCTTTTTCTTACTGCAAATGACTGTGTAAGAGGAAGACCTTCTCCCATGGCCCTCTCCTCCATCCTTCCAGCCCCTTATCGCCTGGCTTTCCTATTGTCTATTTTATAGCCTATCTCTTGCCATGATATTGAGGCATTCAAAAAGAATTAAGAAGCACTGAACGTGCCAAAATGCATGAGAGCTTGGATGTTGCCACATTCTCAGCTCCCAAGTTTTTTAAAATAATGTGGTCCCCCCCGTTTTTTGCCTCTGGCTTTTCTCCTCCTAGTTGCCTCATTGTGAGGTAGGCCCAAGGAAGATGCTACTGTTAAGCTAAGAAGCTCTCATCACAGCGCACCTGTCTGGGACAGATAAATCTCCGCAGCCTGATATTAGCGCTTCTGTGAAGTGTATTTGGGTTCTCCATGAAGGCAAAGTTCAATCCGTCCCAGGGCAGTTACAGAAATCCACAGGGCTCTTTTTTTCTATAACGGGTGCTGTGCCATTATTCCCTGATCCCGATAGAGCCCCAGCTGATTTCTATATCTGAATTTTCTATCTATGTCATCAATACTTAATGCTTGGTGCACTAAATCATAAAAAAAAAATGAGTTTAGAGGAAAGGAATGAAATACAGGACACACAACAACCTCCCCCCCCCCAAGAGATATCTTTATATAGATAAATAGATATAGCTCGAGATGCAGATATATTCTGTTCATGTTCTAGGATGTCCTACAGCAGTAGTAAATCTTTCCTCACATGAGACACACAGAATTTCTTTCCACTGTCTATTTATCATACATTTCACAACCCCAAAATTTACCAGCCACATTCCCAGCTTAGCTGTCTGTCAGTGCTGCACACCCAGTTATCCCCAGCACAAACCAATGTTTATTTTATAGGAGTCTGTGTTGACACTCTACTTACTGTAGGCTTTCATATACCACTTTGTGCTATCACATTTACGTATGAAAGTGATTTCTCTTGTGCCACTTGTTTTAGAGTGGTGCTAGCGTATTAATCCTTCCCATGATCTCCCATGAACACTTGCTCTGTTATTTGGGCTTCTGTAACAATGATGGTGACCAGTATGTATAAAAAGAAACTGGTGAGTGTCAGAAGGATCTCCACTGAAGCCAGTGGTAAAACCAGTAAATCGTGGTAAAACCAGTGCAACCGAGAGAATAATCAGAACCTGCCCGTTAAGAATGGTTGCAAAAAGCATGTAAATAATACAATGGGAAATGGATTTTTAAAAAGTTGAAGGAAACTTTGAGACACTGTCAAGTAGCATAAGCTGAAACTTTGGAATTTGTAAGAGGATTTTTGTGTTTGTGTTTTTTACAAAACTGAATACGAACAATAATGGTCTCGTAAAAGATTTCCTGAATTGTTAAATTTTTTTCCCCCAGTTTAAATCATCCCCCCTCACAGTTTTGGAAAGGCCACACTCATACATCAGAATTGCTCTACTGCACGAGCAATAGCGAATGAAGCTGATCGTGGCCCCCAGTCCTGCAAAGAGTTTCATGTGCTTAACTATAAATGCAGGAATTATCCCTTTAAAGTGAACGGGCTCCTCGCATGCTTAAGACTAAACATGTGACTAAGGACTGGCACTGAGAGTCAGAAAATGAAATGGAGCAGCCCACTGAGAAAAATTCATAAAGGGAAAAAACCTGCCACAAACACAAAAAAAGAAATTAGGTTTTTAAAATGATTGAGACTACGATTCTGCCAGGCAATTCTCTTGGGCGGACCCCAGATTGTAAAAGGAGACTGCATGCCCACAAGGAAGTGCCTGCACAGATCCAATTGAAGGAGTATGGCATTAAATCACCATTGTGTGTTATTAGAAACATAAATTCGGACACATTTTTAAAGAAATATTTTCACCTTGACAGTGTCTCCCTCCAACCCCCAATGTGCTTTGTTTAATTAACATCCCAACTGGCTCATCATTTCAAAAGAGAACTGAGGAGAAATGTCATTCTTTAAAAGAATCAGACTCAATGTCACAAATATTTGCCCGATGTGGGTGTTAGAGACCAGTATAGCATTTTGCTATAGTAATATATTTTCATATAAATGACTGTATTATCTTATACTACAAGCTGTTTCCTTCAAGGTCGAGTAGACTTGGCTTACCATTTCCACAGTTTTTGTAATAAAAATACAAATGAACTATATGCAACTGTAATTCTGAATTGATTTCCTGTGTGAAAATGCAGCTGCCATTGGCTACTCAGTCATTTGAATGTTCACTTGTGCTGGCTAATATGAAAGAACCCCTGTAGATCCCATATAAGAAAAAACAACATTTTGTAACATATCAAGGTTCTTGTGAATATCATTCCATAGTGGATTGAAATGCCAAACATGCCCCCTTCCCCCAGACAAAGAAGCTCAAACAAGAATCAACTCAGTACAAGAGAGACCAGAAAATGTAAGCTACAGGTCTCCCAGCTGGGGAATCTATAATTGGTAACCTGACAAAAACTGGACAACTAAAATCCACATGCTTCCATCTGCCTTTCGAAATGTAAGCAACTTTATGAAGTTAGAGCAAGGGAAGAGGGAGCAGTCATCAGCAGATTTTTCAGCCAGGGGAAACAGTTGTTTCCTGTTTTATTTTGTTTTTTTAAACAATAATAGAAGGAGTTGCGGAAACCTGAACCAGCCTTCATCAGATGACACACTGAAAATTTACTCGGATATTTCAGTATCTCTTCTATTTTGATTCAGCCAAAATTTTCAGGCTGTTAGCATCTTTTCACATAGCACATGGGGAGGATTTATTTATTCAGGTCACCTTTTTGATCAGTTGCCTCGCTGAAAGCAAATGTTTGCTTTAGCCATAGTTGGCTTGAGTGAACACAGCATGCATTGGAGGTTTAAAGTTTTCACATGCAGCCAAACGAGAGGATCAAATGTTCTAATGGAGGCAGCAAACAGGAGCACTTTGGGGCAATGTTGGCTCAGTGTTTATCCTGAGCAATGAATTAGGCCAGTGGGTCTCAAATTGTGGGTCAGGACCCCATGGTGGCTTGGAACCCCATTTTAAGCCTAGCTTTGCTGGGGTGCAGGGACAGAGTCCCAGTCCTATTCTCTGGGGACAAAGCTGAAGCCCGAGCCTGGCCATGTGCTTCCAAAGAGTGAGAACTTCAGCCCTGGGGGCTGGGGCTCTGATTACAAGCCCCCTCTCTGAGGCAGAAGCCTTGGGCATCGTCTTTGTGCCTTCCCTATGGGGCAGTGGACTCAGATGGACTCAGGCTTTGGTCCATCATCCTGAGCTTGTGTAGCCATTTTTTGTTGTCAGAGGTGGGACTACGGCGCAAGGAAGCTTGAGAATCCCTGAATTAGACTCTTTCAATGTAGTGGTGACATGACTTCATTTTGGCCAGTTTTATTCATGATTCTTCTGACAATACGGAACCTTTCTCTCTCCATCCGCAGAGCCAAAAAATCTCTCCCCCACTGGCCAGGACTTTTTATTATGATTAATTATTATTAACAATAATTATTATTAATTAGTATTATTCTAGGAGAGGGTGGGTGAGATTCTGTGGCCAGCATTGTGCAGGGGGTCAGACTAGATGATCATAATGGTCCCTTCTGACCTTAAAGTTTGTGAATCTGTGAGTCTGTAATTATTATTATTATTACGGGCTTTCTAAAACCTTCTTGCGCATCCTTTTAAAGGCTTGCTTCAGAAATGGGTATTGGGCCGCTCTGCTCATCCAGAACCCTGGCTTAACTAAGGGCAGTGTGTGCGAAGCCTTTAAAGGGAAAAACGTCTTTCTAATGCGTTTCGACCACTGTGACATTCTTAAGGTGTGTGCTCTATGATCGGCCGCCTCAGGAGAATAGCTAAGAGCTAGGGCAGCCACAGAGAATGAATTTCTCCTTCCTGCTAACTATCCTCCACATGTGTGGGGTGTTGGGAGAGCTGGGTGACAACTAGCCAGTCTTCAGTTCTGTCAGCCCAGGGCCTTTCATGCACACAAAATTCACTGCCTCCAAAGGAAACCACCAACTGAGCAGTGTCTCTACAGTCCTGAGTCTTTCAGCTCAAACCTGCCTTGAAGGGAGGAAAGGTGTTTTATTGGAATGTTATGCTGAGTGATACAGATGACTACATGCATCACAAACTTCAGAGATTGGCTGTAACACTCCTCAGTGAGCATAACAATCAGGATCAGGAGAGCTGGAACAATTTGTGTAGTTGGGGTGCTGAGAGACATTGAACCAAACTGTAAACCCTACACATGATGGAACCCACTTCCCAAGCGCCAACAGATATGATCAGGATCGACTAATCACTTGCCACCCACCTAAAGAAAGAGCTATGAACCTGGCCTGGGAGTTTTTGGACTGCATGGGGGAGGGCTTTTGTGGAGGATTT